ATAAAAATAGTCTCCCCTGCAAAGAAAAGGGAAGGCCCGTACCTTAAAAATAACTGCTATCATCTTGCACGTACCTTAAAAATAACTGCTATCATCTTGTAATAATAAAAAATAGTATATATATTAAACAGCAGTAGAAAATCTAAGTCTTAATTTGTAAATTGTGTTATTAAGAATTAAAAAATAATACTCGGAGACAACATCAAAATAGTCTCACCTGCAAAGAAAAGGGAAGGCCCGTACCTTAAAAATAACTGCTATCATCTTGCAATGATAAAAAATAAATTTTAAAAAATAAAAAATAATATTTTTAAATAAAAACAATCTTTACCACCCTTAAAAACACCTTTTAAATGTTAGAAACAACAGTTCTCATCTGCACCTTCACTCAATCTCCATTGAAATGGATAATGCACGACCATCTTTAGCAACGCGTCCGCTTTTTGCAACTTAAATGGTGTTCCATTGAGTTTTAACGCTTTCATGCCACTGATGTTCCTCGTGATTTTGATTTAAACTTTCAACCTGAATGCTATGCTTTCAAACAAATCTTTTAGATATTTGATAATTTGAACTGTGGACGTAATGAATTTTTCGAGCCCGTTTGAGTATTTTTTTTATAAATAATTTATTATTATTATCTTTGTTTCAAATTAAATTTTTTTCAGTGTTTTTATATTATTTTAATATAATGATATCAAAAATAATTTTTTAAAAATAAAAAAATATTTTAATATATTTTCAAATAAAAAATAATTTAAAAAATTACCTTCATAACATTCTCAAACACCATCTTCACATCCAAAGCTTGACCTTTTATTGAGTTTGATTTTAACTTTAAAAATGGGTAAAATAACAAGTAAAGGAAACGGATTGCTTTTGTTACAAGTGTTGGAGGGTTTGAAATTGCATTTTGAAAGTATTTAAAAAAAATAATTTTTTTAAAAAATTAATTAATTTTTATATATTTTTAGATCATTTTGATATATTAATATCAAAATTAATTTTTAAAAGCTAAAAAATATATTATTTTAATATATTTTAAAATAAAAAATATTTTAAAAAATAACTTCTAACACATTCCTAAGTTTCTTTAATCAATTTTTTTTATAAAAAAAAATAACTACAGACTCGACGCTATAGAAATTCAAACTAGCTAGAAGCACCTTTGCTGCCATAATTAAATCATTAGTCCTTAATTTCTTGAAGATAGAATGATTTTTGGTATTAAGATTTTTTTTTGTCTTGTTAGTCAGAGGCAATATGGGATTCTTCAAATCTTGGTGTCTCCCATTTTGCATCTCAACCTACTGGCAAGCAAAAAGAAAGGGGATGAGGAGAAATTTAATCGTTTAAATTTTTAGAGTTGTTTTAAAATGTAATTTATATTATTTTTAATATATATTTTTAAATAAAAATATTTAAAATTTACATAGATTTATATTATTTTATATTTAATTTTTATTATGAGAATAACGAGATTTAAACACGTGTTTATTTAGTTATTAAAATTCTAATATCGTATAAAAAAACTAATTTAATTTAAAATTTAAATTTTAAAATGAAATCTCATTTATGCTATTTTTAATTCATTATCATTACATGTCAAGGCAATTACAAGGAATAAAAAGGAAAAAAAATGCTGTCTTTCGGTGCCTGTGGGCTGGATTTAACGTTTGATTCTGAACTTTTTGCCTGATCATTGGATTTTTAGTCAAGGAAATTAACCAGTAGATACTTTTGTTAATTGTTGGTAAACATAAGTTATAGCACGAGAACCTATAATGAATTACTTCTATTTTTAGATCAATGGTTTTTCTTTTTAATGAGATTTTAGACATTAATACTCAATACAATTGTGCTTTTTCCATACATTTTTGTTCTTATTTCAAATCCAAAAAGAAGGGCAGTTGAAATTACATTTTTTAACAAAATTAATTTATATTTTTATGGTTTTAAATTATTTTAATATATTAATGTTAAAAATAATTTTTAAAAAATAAATAATTTTGATATATTTATAAATAATTTTTTTTTGAAAACATAGAAATAAGCTAAACAATCTCACACTTCAATTAAACTAACATCGCAAATTGACAACACCGCAGAATATTCAAAGTTTGAGATATTTTGAGAATTAGAATGCCACTGTCAAATTCAATACCACAAAAAATGCATTACTCTTACACGTGTTATCCACCTCATGATAATCGTACACGGGTTACAGTTTCTGTGCATCTGAGCAGTGAGCTGGGAATAAAATGCCGAGGCTGAACAAAATCCAGCACTCGCTCATACACTTCTTCCTTCTGTTTTATAGGCACAATAGTGGGGTACCGTTACTGTTGGATGCAACCACTCCTCATCCTTTACCGTACACGTGTCGCACGTGAATATGGGCTATAACCCATTAATGAGTTTTGACCCCAATAAACCGTTTGTTTTCTCAGCGAATCGCTTTTTTAATTTTTTAATATATTAATATTAAAAATAAATTTAAAAAATAAAAAAATATTGTGAAAAACAACCTTACAATAATCTCATAAAACTACAAAAATACCCGTTCATTTTATAATAATAGTGGTGGTTTTTATTCTTTCAAAAGAGCTAAATTAATTAAATAGTTTATTTATTCTATCATATCAACCACTGTTGTTTGGTTGTAGACAAGAAAATCAAAGCCAGGATCAGGACAGAGATTGGTGAACAAACCATTCATCAATTCAATAATTACATAAAAATGGGTTACTATTAGTTATCACAACTTCTGGTATAAAAAAATGTACACATTGTTTTTTTTATTAAAAAAATAATAAAATTTAATTTTAAATTATACAAATAGATATAATTTCAGTATCGATTACGAGTCTTCTTTTTATATGTTTTTTTTATTTAAATTAATATAGGTGTTCAGGTCAGTTTAATCACACCACGACTAATCCCACGGGCTTTAAAATTGATGACCATATAAATTCTCAATGATCATTATATAAACAATCAAAAACTCAAATTTAAAATCACAAAAAAAACAAATTTTTTAATTCTAAATTTTTATCACTTTACCACCCCTTCCCAGCTTTTCTTTATATATGTTTAATTAAACAATTACTGGCCTATGTGACATTGTTTTGTATATACAATAATAGAAGAAAACAAGTCAAATAATATATGAGGATTAATTAGTAAGGCTTATCATCACAGCTAAACCTCACTTCCAATGATTAATGGACCTACTACATCTCCCTGATTGCATCTGAGCTTGCTTTATCTTGGACCGTCCAAAGCTACGGAAAGATCTGTAACTTTTTTGTGCTTGAATATGTGAGAGTAGCTCTCAAATCTAATCATTTTTTTTTAAAAAAAGGTAAAAGTCAAATTGACGCCCTATCTCTTTAAAATATAGCCCTTTCGCTAATTACTCGATATTCCACACCCCCGTCATCTTTATTATAACGAATTTCTGGTTGGGTTGGCATTCGGGTTGAAAAATATTTTTATTTTTTATTTTAAATTAATATAATTTTAATATTATTAAATTATTTTAATACTATGATATCAAAAATAATTTTCTAAAAATAAAAAATAATAATATTTTAATAAATTTTAAAATTAAAAACTCTATAAAAAACAAGGACAACCAAACTCTCAAACATCAATCACCCACCGTGTTACGTGTTGATACACTTTAGGACAAGAAGAATACAACTTCAGGTGCATCAATCTTCCTTCATCTGAATTATGAACTTTATACGATCTTAAGTTACATATTCTAGCAGCAGCAACTGCCTAAGTCTAACATGTGTGTGTGTGTGTTGGTCAATAGTAATTATGGTCAAGACAAGAAAATAGAGAGGATCCCCCCACTCTCCTTCTCCAGAGATGCATACGGAGCAACTCTTTTTACACGAATCTATCTGGGCCTCAAGAGATTCAGACGCATAAAGTGTCAAGCATGAGAAAGGAAGTCATTAGGTTAATCAAAGAAAATAAAACTTGAGAAAGAACACGTATCTGAAGTGGCTGTGTCATTCATGCCACAGCAAAAGGAAAATAAAGAACAAAAGAAGGGGAACTAAAAGGATTAGCCAGACCAGTACTAAATTACAAGGCAAACTAAAAAGAATAGAGAAACAAGATCAAGAATTGCAATAATTTGTTAGATAATACCAAAGCTTTGATCCATGCTATCCCATGTACACATTGATTATCTATGCCTCATAAGGCCAAGCCATAAGAAAATTTGTCTAGAACTCTCCCATAAGAATGTCAGCCCTGCCGCAGCTATTTACACTCCACCAAGAAAAAAAGAGAGAGGAGAGGGGAAGATCCCTCATCCCCACCAAAAGGTCCAAAACTATGGCTAGAAGGAGTTGACAGTGTTAATCATGCCAGCATACTAACATGACCACACATCTCCTTATTATGTAAAGCCTAGCCCTTTGTTCTCTAAGGACAGCACCTAGTCCTTTGCTTGATATCCTTCTCTTCGAGCTTCCCATGCTAGCAATATTAATCTTCATCTTCAGTGATCCTTTTTTTTTTAATCTTTTTTTTTGGAGAGGGGCACTGAATTGAATGGCGAATGATTTTTTGAGGTGCGAGTTTGTGAGTTGGCTTGAAATGGAACTGCAAGAAGGGGAGATTGTTTATATAGTAAGATGGGTGTGGTCCTAGCTAACACTGGTCTAGTAAAGAGCCACCGATGGGGCATGAAAGGGCTCGCTGTGCCCTTGAACCCACCAGACAAGAATACCATACATCTAGGCCCCGCGGCCCCAGTGGGGACCATATCCAAACACTCCCTAGTAAAATGATAACAAGAATCCAAACAAGCCCTTCTCTCCTTCCTCTTCTCTTGCCTCGCCATCCTCCATGATCGACACCATATCCTATCTTGTGTAGGCAAATAGGCATCACCCACCTGCAAAACGGGTGACCGTGCCTTCAGTAAGGTGACAAATTTCTTAGCTGACGGGCTGCTTTTCAATTTGTAAATGATGATGTGATCATAGTTTGACAAAGAATTCTACTGCTCCTACTTAATTTCTCTTTTATAAATTGTAATTTTTGTCGTTGTTGTTGGATCCACCTAAAAAGGTAATAGAAGAGAAGAGAATCGTACATCACAAGGCAGCATAAAGTGCCCTTTCAGCATGTTTAAAGGCTATAATGAGCTCATCTTAACAATTTTTTGAGACTCGTTTCAGTATAACAGTGTAATTTAAGAATTTCAAGGTAAACACAAATTTAGCGACTTATGAATAGAAACAATGTAATAATTATTTTACCGTTCCAAGATAAAATTATTGAACTAGTAAGGTAATAATTTTTTTATAATATTTATTAATTATTATTATATTGATAAATATTAAGTTAATTTATTAGTATTTTCAAATACAATAAAATGACTAAATTCTTCTTAAAATATATTAAAGTTCAGTTTTTTCATATTCTCTTTTTTTTAGTCATAATTAAGTTCATTGAGAAATAATTTAATAATTTAATAAAGATAATATATAATTTAAAAATTAAAATAGTTGATGCATATATAGTATGCATCAACATGCAGATATCCTCGATCTTTGGATTGTTCTTAAGGTTTTATAAGATGAAAAAATTTCACTTTTTGTGGTGGTGTTGCAAGCATCTCGGTATATTATTCTTGATGGTCATGCATATCTGTTTGACTTTAATAGATTTTTTTTTCCCTCCCTTTTTTCTCCTTATTCTTTTCAAGTTTTGTGATGAATATCGAAACATAAAGGTGTTATGTTATTTTTTTATATAATTTGATTATTATTATTTTGATTGTTATTTATTTTATTTTAGATATTTTTATTTATTTTTTCTTTAATTTAATTGCTCATTATCTAGTTTCATTTAATTTTTATATCAAATTTAGTTTTTATTTTTTTTGTTTTTTTATCATTTTATTAATTGAATTATATTTTTTATTTCATCCATCAAAATTTGATTTAGATTTTTTTATGTTAAATTTAATCTCTATTTTTTCATTTCTATTTATTTTGGATCCTTTTTTAATTGCATTTTTTTCTCAATTGCATCCCTCTATATTTTATTGGTTGATAATTTTTCTTTATTATTTTTAAGAGTTTGCCTTCTATGAGTTTAGTCTCAAGCTCTGGATTACAAGTTTTCAAAGTTAACACGGATTGATTTTGTTTTTTTATAGGTCATTTTAAATTATTTTTTAATTTTATCTTTTAATATTTAATTTATTGAAAATTGATCTTCATATTTTTTTTTATACTTTTCTTTTAGTAAAGTTATCTCAATTCTATGTCTATGATCGTGGGGTTAGCAAGTTAAACTTAGTTAACTCCTATAGTTTTTCTTTAACCTTTTTTTATTAAAATTATTTTTTTAATTAATGTCTCTCTTCAATAATGAATTATTTGATAATTGAATTTTATAATTTATTTAATTTTCAATAGGGTTGCTTTGATATTACAACCATAATAAAACTGTAAATTTGATATATTAACTTGAAAGAATTTGAATTGAGGTTTTTATTTTTTTGTTAATTTGATTTTTTTGTTACATTTTTTATATATATTATTAAACTAGTGGAGCTTATTAAACCGAGTTAAATCAATAACTTAATTATCAAAATTCTTTTGCTTTTTTAAGAATATTTATATCATTTTAACATATTTTATTACATTAAAAAAAAATCGAATCGACTTGTAACACAGGACGAGCATAAATGTCCAAATCCTTTCATACGTGGACATGGGAACATATGATACACGGGTGTTGTCACCCTCTATGGATAATTTAATGCATTTAATTATTATTTTTCTCTTTTTGATGTTTACCTAAATTAGTGAGTTCTGGACCTTTATTGCATTATCTAGCTATAGGATTTTGGATGAGGGATGAGAGACTCGTCTGCATATATCTACGTGTTTTGGCTGTACGTCCATGTGTATGACGGATGGCCATACGCTTCTTTTTCCATGCAATGAAGTAACCATTACGGTATTTCATCAGTGAGAAGGAGTATAACTCAATTAAATCGAGTCCTTTTTTCTTTCAGTGGAAAATAGTGTTCAGGGACTAGATGCCCACTGTAGAAAATAGTGTTCAGGGACTAGATGCCCCCTACCAATTGCCTGCTGATAGTATGAGTACTTATATTTGATTGAACTTTCTAAGCCATCAAGATTACAAATAATCATAAAAAAAAAAAAAACAAAAGCCTCTTGCAATTGCATGAAACTGAAGAAATTTGACGGATACTTAGAAATCCATTTCTTTCACAGATTGGAAACTACATTTTGACCCTCCAACTATAATATATGTTCCAGTTCGGTACTCCACTACCAGAAGTTAAGATTTGATCCATTGATTCATAATAATCGATGCAATGCAAGTCTCCAATACAACAGTGTTTTTTCCCTTCAAAATAGACATGCAGTCAGGATTACTATAGAATTAGGAAATTGGTTATTCTTCACCTTCTTGATGCCTTCTCGCATGGAGAAAGAGTTTGTGGTTTAATTGAAAGAGTGCTAGATAGAGGACTAATGTAGCACTTTGCCCGCATAGAATTACCAGTGAATTGAATAACGTACACACATAAATGGTTTTTGTTTTTTTTTTTGGTAATAGTTGAAATCATGTTAGGTTGTAAAGCTTGCAGGAGGCCAGATGAGAATAGGATCTCACCGACATTGAAAGTCCAGAGATCTGATGGGAATTTGAATCCAATTCTCACACCTGGTTTGAAATCTTGCTCAAATATTCGACAGGGTGATCGTATTGGGTGCATGGAATACCTACTGGCTAGCTAGATAAATAAATAGCTGTAGTGCTCGCACTTGCATGGGCATCCAAATCACATGATTCCATTTTGCAGTGAAATAAAATCAAGGAGGACAAGTTCAAAATCTCCCAGGAACCTCCAATCCCCAGTGAAAAGCAAAAAGAAGCAAGAGCAAGTCAAGAAGTGAGATTTCAAGGTTATATGGCCAAGATTCCTCCATAAGCATACACTGCCAGTCCTGATAAAATTAATGTAATTAGATCGCACAAAACCCAATTGAGTGAATGATTAAATTAAGGACTAAGTTAGACTTGAAATCCAAAAGCAAACCACCACTAGCTCTTGGTGATACCGTGTTAGTCTCATTTTTCATTAAAAGTATATTTATTTTTTAGAAAGTAATTTTTTAAATTTTTTTTTATATTTGTTTACCATTAAAAAAATTAATTAATAAAAAATATTTTTTAGTTAAAAAATAATTTAACTTAATTTTCAGGAAAGTGATTTCTTTTTATTTTAGGCAAAAAACACTTTCTAAAAGTTGTGAAAAAATTAGAAATGTTATATTATTTGTTAATTACAACAAATTTGATTCTCAAATTTTTTATTACTATATATATTTTTTATTTTTTTCAATTTCATCCCTTGAAAATTTTTATATTAACTTTGGTCCTTATTTTTATAATTTTTATTTACTTTCATCTTATTATTTTTTAATTGAAAATTTTTATCTATCAAATTTGATCCTTATTCTTTTAATTTTTACTTATTTTATTTGAAATGATTTATAAAATGATAATTATTATTATTTTAATTTATTTATCTTTCAATTTTTTTATTTTTTAGATTTGATCTCTATTATTTTGATTATTATTTATTTTATTTGAGATAATTTATGAAATTATATTTTTTTCAATTTTATTCTCATTCAACTTTTTAATTTGTAAGATTTGTTTTTTATTATTTTAATAAAATAAAAAAAAATAAAAAAATTGTTTTACAGCTCATTTTTCATGACATAACCAAATATTAAAAATTATTTTTCAATTTATTTTTTATTATACTAACAAATATTAAAAAATAATTCATTTTCATAAAATTCACTTTAAAAAAACAACTACTTCCCAGGAAAGTTCTGCACACCAACTTCCATTAACCCTGGTATGATCGAATAAATATCATTACTGTAATCTCTTTGAACAGCTAGAAGTTGTCAATATCGATTTAAGAGCCCATCAGTAACTTGTTGGTTCTTACAAACTCTCCTTAGAAGCTGGACAAGATCATATTTAGATGCTATATGTAGTGCTTATCTTGGATATACAACACATGGGCCTAGCTGTTTCAATGGTTTGGATGATCATAGGATGATTAGTAAATATGTCATAAATATATTTTGAGATTCCTCAGTCCAACTGTAAATATTTGTGTCTCGTCATATCAGTTGAGTTCATGTTTTAGACAAGGTATCATCAACATGTTAAACCTTGCAGGTTCGAAATATTCTGCACACTATATAATGTATGTGATAGTCCGTTATGTCATGACTGCCTGCAATGAAAACAGCTATTTAAAACCATGGATTCAACTAAATTAGATACAATTATTAATGGTGATTGATTAAATATTCTAGTTGCACTGTAAACAAAGAGTTACAGATCTTGTTTAAGTGTTTTTTGCTGGGCTTCTTGTTTTATATACATACATAAAAACAGCCTTGTTGTGCTGAACAAGGTGGCCAGATTTGCACGTGAAGGTCTCGTCATTTACAATAACATTGCCTGTGATAGACTCAACATCAGTATTATTTGTTATCTTGGTTCAATAAGCTTTGAAACCATAGTACTACTTTATATTAATATCTGGTCCACCACCATATGTATTATTCTACTTTATATTAATATCAATGACATGCTTATTTATTTATTTATTTATCAAGAACTTTCTTCTCCCTCATGCTGCTGTACGTACTTGATTTCTACTCACCTTGAAATTAGTTTAATTCCTTCAATCAATCATTCAAATGGCCATAACTTAGCATGGACTCAACAATATACT